ATTTAAAGCATTAATATAGCAGCAATATATTGCTTGTTTACTTCTCCTGTCTGTCAGCAGGTGCATGTTAGTGCATCTGAATCCCTCAGTGGATGGCTGAGGTGAAGGAGATCAAATAAAAAATTTTTTTTTCATCTATGGTGGGGAATTAAGGATTTAGACCAAACCAGAGTTGGTGAATGTTGGAACACTAAAACTACTAACAAAGTTTGTTTTGGTGAGTTTTATTTTGTTACTCTTCAGTTTGCATGAAGTTATAATATTACAATGGTCTGCAAAGTAAAATGCAAATTTTTTAGAACAACAATGTGAGCTTGTCAATGGCAGAAAACAAGCACTCTGATGGGTGCATTTTCCCCCAAGGGTTAGCTTACGTTGCCGCCATTGCAGCCCATTTCGCAAATATTTTTATATCTTAAGTTGTTTCAGTCTTGAAATTAAGATACTTGTTTTTTTTTCTCGACAGTTTTAAAAATACTTTTTAAAAACTTTTAAAATTTGCTTTGAGCTAATGGCTCATATTGTTCTCATGATGACAGATGAAAGAAGATGAAAGCCTGTGTGAAGTGCCTCACAGCTCATAAATTTACTTTGTAAATCCTGCTTTATGTTCTTCCTCTCCTGTATGAGTCATTCACCGCGTTAACACGCTAACAAGAGCAGCGTGAAAAGTGCATTACATTCACTTAAAAATGTATTGTATGTTAAGAATGATACATGCACATCAGCTCATAATTTTAGACCACAGTGACATTAACGAGCGGTGAGAGTTCATCATTTCAACATTCATTGGTGGAGTGGTGCAGTTCTGCTATCCTGCGACGGGAGATTTGGGTTGTTATCACTGTTTCAGCAAAAACTAATCATTTGATTCGTCAGTAATGAAAGAAGCAGTATTGTGGACAGAAAACTCTCACAGGGGGGATGATGAAAAGTAAAAGTACAGGTGATTCTTTTTTTCAACTAAGGAAAAAGTATTTATCATTATAGAACACAAAGTTGTAAAACAAAAGGAAAGTTTGCAGTTTTATCATGCTTCAAACACAGAAATAAGATAATTGAATACATAGAATAACAGAAAATGGATCTACACACAGAGTCCGCCTCCTCTTGTCCTGTGCTCTGTTACAATAATGTTACATTATTAGATCAATAATGTTGATCCATCAGTGTGTGGCATTTTACTGTCTACGCTGGGCGAGGTGGAGCTAGTTTCAGCTACTTTTTATACAGTTTGCTTGTCAAGTGATTCCCAACTCAGGGTTTGTGCCCCTCCAATAGGTCACAAGATCAATCGGAGGGGTCTTCAGATGGTTAACAGAAGAGGAAAGAATAAAAACAAGGTTCTGGGACAATTTTTTTAATTTATTTCTGGACTTTTCTCTAATCTTTGTTCTTTCTGAAATAATTATTACCTTTATTTTCCTTTTTTTTTTTTTACTGAATATACATCTGAAATGTGAGAAGAGGCCCAAATAGACACTGTTATTTTTACTATAAGGTCAAAAGCCACAATTCTGGGAACAACTGATTATTATTATTGTTTTATAAGCTTATCATAACATTCCTTGAGTAAAATAAAGTGGATTAGCAATATTTCTGTCTGAAAAGTAGAGTACAAGTAATACGTAACATAAAATTGAAATATTCAAGTAAAGTACAAGCTCCTAAAAATTGTACTAGTACTTGTGTCTGTGTACTCATTTCCACCACTGTATTTCTGTTTCTGTGGGATTTGTAAATATTGTTTATTCTGTTGCACTAATGTATCATTATCACATGATATCTAAGACACATTATCAGAAACAGCATACACTCACACACACACTTACAGATGGATAATGCAGACACAGGGGAGTGTGTTTATTTATACAGTCGTTTAACACAATTACAGTATCGTTACAAAGCTGATGAGCAGCATTGATTGCTGTGGCAGACATCAAGTCATCACTAAAGGAGGAAGAGGAGTTGCCTAAAAAAGTGGATGATGGCCAGTTAGAGATTTACAACAATTATGTAAGAGTCACTGAAAAAGGAATGAAGAACAAACAGGTATTATGAAAGGTATTCAACACAGGTTACATTCAACCTTCCAGGAATGGGTGTTCCTGGTAAGCAGCTGGTTATGATTAATCAAATTATATGATTAAATCTAAAACATAAAAAAAAGTAGTAAAGCTCTTGTTTACTGACATGACACCTTTTCAGCCCTTTTTGGGTTGGTTAATTTTTTTTTCAAATAATGTAATGAGTTGGAGTTATTATTTAGTATTGATTTTTATTTATGTAGGCCTATTAGCGTATTTAACACAGGCAGTGCAGCTAAATAAACACTTGTTTATGTATATAAATGGTAAGTAAATGTGTCAGAGTAAGCAAGAAATCATCTTTTCCTCTCTAGAAAAATGTTACACAATCATCCATGTGCTTATCACAATCATCATCATCTTGTATAATCATGAAGCTATTGGTTGCATAACACTAAACTGAAAAACAGTGTTTTACTGTCTGTAACTAGATATTTCCTCTTTAAAAAGAGAAATCCTATAATAGGTTAAGTTATCAAATGTTGTGGTTTTACATGTTGCTCCACTTAAATACATATATAAACATTTTTTTTAAGATATTATTGTCATTTTAAACATACTTCTACTTCAGGTAACTTAGTTTTAATGCTTTCTAAACGATCAGCTATTTACACATAAAAACGAAAGTGACACGTTAGAATCTTAAAAATATCAATGTGAAGTCGAATCTTAGCTTGAAAGTTAATCATGTTCTTCACAGTAGATTTCATCTATGAGTTCAGTTGCCCTTCAGATACAAGCTGTTGTGATCCAGTCATCAGATGGACCAACCGTTAAAAGAGCATTACTGTTATAGATTCATTATCTTCCTGTGCCTGACGGATTGGATAACATTAATTGATTTACAGCCTGTCAAGTTGTGATGGCACATGTGAAGCACATGTCATACAGAGGTATGTTCAAGGTGCTGTACAGAGAAGCTAAAACAACACAATAAAAAGTTAGAATAACTCAATAAAAGTTAAAACAACACAATTCAAGGTTTAAATAATACAATTTAAAAGAGAAAAATAGGGGAGATTACTATATAGAACTGAAATTAAAAAATAAGATAAAAGAGTAAATTAATAAAAATATATACATAAAAAAGATTAATATATTAAGATTAAAAGATATAAGGTACCACCACTCATCAGGAGTGATACCGCACTT